TAGAAACTATTGGTCTTATTATTATTTTTTTAATTTTTTTTTAAATGGCATATATATTATCTTTATAATAGATTAGGAAGAAAACCCATTGAATATCTAATATATGCTATTTTATTAATTTTCATCAACTTTAATTATTTATTTAAATATTCAAATTTTAAATAAATACTCAACCAATAGAATAACAACACATGGGCAATGGGGTATGCACAAAACTTATAATCGGTTCTAAGATAAGAACTTTCTCTCTGATTCTCATACTTTTATAATAATTTTTTTTTTTTTATTGTGTAGATACTATAAAAGATATCTCTATTGGGGGTGTTCTAATACTGGCATCTTTGTAAAACAAATGATATGATGTTTGTATAGGGGCAAAATTCAAAAACAAATTTGTATTTCAAGAAATTTTTTTTTTAATCCTTCATCTATTACCTTATATCTTATTGTTATATTTTAAAATAAAGCAAGTAGTTTTCAATTTCAATTTTGATCCAAAACAAATATAAAATAGAGTTAATTAGGTCCTAAGATAAATGAATGGATCTTACTCTTCCACTATAAAAAGAGTGTTCTAAAGCTTGTCCATTGCTTTAGCTTCACATGTATTGTGACACTTTCTTCGGCGGTCTAATCCAAAGATTCTCCATAGGACATAAATCCTCTTGTTTTACAGGGCCACTAAAAAAAAAGGTGATTCGAACCAAGCAGGCCATAGGATTTGGATGGTAACTACAAGGATCGGTCCACTACTGGAAAGTAGTGAGTTCACTTGCATTACCCTAACTTTAATCCAGTTGTAGTTACAACTGCAATTCATAACCCGAGCCTTCTTCGCTCGGGGTGGTGCATGCGTTGGGGATCCTGGAAACTCACACAGCTTCGACCGGTTACTTCCAAGAGCTCAGATATATCCAAACCGGACCCGTTATGATCCCAATCTGTTTGAATGTCATATTTGACCCGAACAAATCTTAATGTCCCCATTTGGATTATAAGCTCTCGTTAGGGAGCTCGGCGGTTAAGAGAGTATTCAGTTC